AATTTTATTCTTAATACCAGATTTATGTTTATGAATTTGTGCAAGAGTTTAGGTTTAATGCTTTATGAATGTTGGATTGATTTAATTACCTTAATGATGTTTCGAATAGAGAAGTTAGGGTTTATTGCTTAATTCATATTCATAATTGTTCTATGGGAATAACATTGCACAACATATTAAAACTAGAAGTAATCGAATAGAGATTCTAGGATTAATTTGTGGTCCATCTAATTCATAACCGAATAGGGCGAATTAGTCGTAAGGGATTGATGAATTTATGCTTCTTAATTTCAGAGTAACCGAATAGGGATCTGTATTAAGTTGAATATTATGCCTGAATAAGGATAATTGGCCTTAGAAGAATCCTACCAATTCATAGCACAAACGGGTATTAAGAGTGGTTGTCAAGCATAATTAGGGGGAAATCTGTACCCTAACTTCATTAATATTGCAAAGTTCATCACATTATTTATTTGTTTAATTTAGTTATTTTTAATCCGTTACTTTTACACTCTAAGATTTCGTTTTCTCAAATAACGTGTAAGTAGTTTTAGGTAATTACAAATATTCGCTTTGATCTCTGTGGGACGATACTCAAACTCATCACTTTATTACTTGAACACGACTAGTGCACTTGCTAAGGTTGATTTAGTTGCATCAATTGTAAATGTTATAGAATATCGTGTTTGACTTGTTATTGAAATAAATGCAGGTTTTACTTTTTTCTTCATATCGTACTGCTTTTGTTTCTTAAATAATTTATGCTATTATCTTACGTATGCTGTGTTTGATCTACTTTAAGGTTTGCATCTTCTTTTTTCTTTATATAGTACTGCTTTTGTTTCTTAAATAATTTATGCATAATAATATTTACATCCTTACTATTGTATTCCTCTTACATCTTTATTTTTATTGTTCGTTAACGTAGATATATATGGTTGGATGAAACGATTTCTCCTTATAGTTACAGTGTGATTCCTATTAAAGGTAATAAATATATTCTTTTTGTGAACTATTATTTTATAATTGTTAAATTGAATATTGATTGTAATATCAGATTCATATAACTCAAGTTTTTTATACAAGTGAATTTGACGATCCTAATTTGTGAAAATATTTATATAAATTCTTGGAAAACCAATAAAGAACAAATTCAAAACTTTCTAGTTAATCATAATTTTTCATTAGAATTGTAATCAATTAAGATTTCCATGAGGTCAAAATTTAATTTATGAACCATTTATTTATATATAATTCATCTGTAAAATTGTGATGAGTTAACAAGAATACCATAATATAAGTATGATTGTAATAAATGCAGGTATGTTTTTCGTTTAATGTCACAGTCAGTTATATTCTCAATTGTCGAACCAACAAATGGATGATATACTTTTGATAGACCATTGCCGAACCAATAGCTTATTCATATTTATGATAATAATGTTTCCTTTGTTTGGAAATCTCTATGTTGCCGAACTATTTTAATGTGTGGTTGTAACAGATGAAGCTATGTTTCGGTTCAAATCTTGCTACAAGATCATAATATAATATGTTATAAAGTTTTAATAAAATATTTTTTCATCCATAAATTTACATAAAAAACTGTAGTAAATCATTTGTTATCAATTTTTGCATAGTTATAAAAATCTGGACTCGGCAGAGGTGAAAAAAGGAATGCAGTTAACACAATATATTTTTTGTTTTGGTCAGGTGCAAGATTATAAAATGGTTCTTATGGATAAAGACGCAGCAGCTATACAGTCATATTTTCAGGAATTATATTTGCGAGTGATTGAAAACTATAGATTGGCATATGACTCTAGACAAATAAGTATCGTTGATTTCATAACAAAAGTATGTAAGGAGAATAGAAAATTGAGAATGTTTATATGGAACAAAAGAAGGCCTAGATTTCCAAAGCGAGTCAGAAAGTCAATCTCCAAAAAGAAAAAAGGTATATTTAATATTAGAACTTCATATAATTATTATGCAAAGAGTAAACGAGTTTAGTCTATATCTTTGTTCTTTTAGTTTTTAATGAACTATATATTGGTGTTTTGACGTATGAATTTCACAGCAAAATGATCCATAATAAAGTATCCAACAAAAGTAACCACCTTATTTATTTTGGTATAGTCATACAAATATTTTGTATATTACATGGTCGAGTAAATCAGTTTTTGTTTTCTTTAATGATATAATTTGTTGTGTAATATAGTCTCAATCATAAAACTTGTGTATCAAACACAAAGAAAGATCCAATAATTTCTTTAAATGCTTCTATAAATATAAATGAGATATTTAATTACTATTTGCACCTTTTGGTTAAGCTTTTCAATTATATAATTTGTTGCATGGTATAGTATTAATTCTGTTATTATTATTTTTAAGTTCAAATAAGAGATCTAAAGAACATAAACAATGTGTATCAAACATAGAGAAGTGTTCTACAAGTTCTTCAAATGCTTCTGTAAATGTAAATGAGATACGTGAGGAAAATAGAACAGAGAGAATGTCCGTATTAAAAAGGAAGAGAGGTAAAAAATATTATATTATTGGTTACCTATGTTTTTTAGATTATGATAACTTAAATTGACTAACTAAATCTATGTTTTTCAGGTGCTTCTCCGTGCACAGAGCCTGACTCTAATATTCCAATTACGAAGGCAGGACAGTATAATCGTGAGGCCTGAATCTGACAACATATGTTTAAACATTCAGTTTGTTATATCTTAAAAATATAATGTTATTCATTATTTTGTAAAAATAAAGGTGCAGATCTTTTTTGAACAATTTTGACATTGAAAAAACAAAAGAAATCTTTATCGAAGACAAATAGAGGTTCAAAATCTCGCTCGACAGAAAGAGGTAACAAGTGTCACATTGTTAGTTATACATATTTAAATGTTAACTCAAGTATTAATCTTAGTAAAAAAAAAAAAAATGTCATTCTGATTTTCTAAATTAACAGAACATGTCAATTACTTTCTAAAAATAACACGTTATTTCTTTGCACAGTGGAAAAAGAGTCTTGGAACTTTGGTGAACCATCTACAAGTGCATTCATTGTGGATCAATCATGTTGTATGAAGAGCGAACTGTTAAGAACCAAGAGCCATCGATCCCTTTGTTTTCATTATGTTGTATGGATGGCAAAGTTCAGTTGTCGTTATTGAAAGAACTACCAGAACCATTAAAAGGTTTATTGGATGTGTCCAGTGGTAATAAAAGGATTAGTTTCAGGAGTAAAATAAGAATATACAATTCATTGTTCTCATTTACATCAATGGGAGGGCATGTTGACCATGAGATTGACCAAGGGGGTGGTCCATACATTTTCAAACTCTGCGGAAAGAATTACTACCGAATAGGATCGTTACTTCCACCCGAAGGAAGGAAACCTCAGTTTGCGCAACTTTATATTTATGACACAGAGTATGAAACCAGTCATAGATTAATTATGTACGAGGTAATACAACCGATGCTACTGTTGACAAGAAATTAGTACAGGAATTGCAATTGATGTTTGATGCAAACAATGAATTGGTTAAAAGTTTTCGTTCTATCAGGGACCATATCCATTGGAATGATAATAGAGATGTGCATTTGCATTTAAAAATGAAAAGGGAAAAGGATGGAAGACAATACAATTTGCCAACTACATCTGAAATTGCGGGTTTAATTGTCAGTGATATTGGAATTTCAGAAACTGGAAAAGATGTCATTGTTCATCATTCAAAAAAGGGTCTTCAAAGAATTTTTGACTTGCATCCAAGCTTTATGGCATTAAGTTATCCAATATTATTTCCGTATGGAGAAGATGGATACATAATCGACATTAACCATAAAGACTTTCCTGACAAAAAGTCTTCAAAGAGAAACAGGCTAAGCATGAGAGAATATTATGCATTTCGATTGCAATATAGATTATGTAAAGAGCATACTCTATTGAAATCAGGAAGATTATTGCAGCAATATATTGTGGATGCATATATGGCTATTGAAAAGGAAAGATTTCGTTGGATTAGAAACAATCAGAAAAAATTGAGGAGTGATTGTACAGTGGGTTGATGGATGCCATTTCAAAGGATGATGTTAATGCACAACATCTAGGGAAATCTACATTGCTCCCTTCGTCTCACACTAGCAGTCCCCAATATCGTGTTCAGAATTACCAAGATAAAATGGCGATTTGCAGATGTTATGGATATCCAAATATTTTTCTGACGTTCACTTGTAGTCCCAAGTGGCCGGAGATATAATATCTATAGAATTGTATTGGATAATGTGATCAAGAAAGTAGAATAACTGCAGTTTGCAGAGTTTTTGAGATCAAATTGCTTGAGCTAATGCGAGATATAAAAAAAAGGTGAATATTTTGGTGAAATAGTGGCAAGTAAGTATTCCAACGAATAATATTTCTACTTTTTTTTTTTAACTAATTGTAGTACATTGATAATTTATGATATTAAATTATGTTATACCAACTATTGCTGAACACGTTATAATTGTTTCTGTCAGTTATCTACTTTATCGAGTTCCAAAAGAGAGGCCTCCCCCATGCTCATATATTGGTTTTTCTACATTCCCAATATAAGAATCCTTCGGTATCCAAAATAGATGAAATAGGTTTTGCTGAAATTCCAAATAAGGAAACTGATGGTTTTGCCTTTGAAGCTATGGAGAATCACATGATCCATGGTCCATGTGGTGATGTTAACAAGAATTCACCATGTATGGAGAGAGGAAGATGTAAAAAACATTTTCCGAAGAAATTTGTCAATGAAACATCTGTGGATGACAACAGATACCCAATGTATAAAAGACGGAATAATGGAGCATTTGTTGAGAAAAAGGGTATCGAATTGGATAACTATTTTCTTGTTTCTTATAATAAGAATCTTTTGGTTAAGTTTGATGCTCACATAAATATTGAGATATGTAATCAACATAGATCAATCAAGTATCTATTCAAGTATGTCAACAAAGGGTCGGACAAAATGAGAGTTTCTATGGAAATTACAAACAAGGGTCAACAGAAAAATCAATGCGAGATTTTACAGGACAAAGATGAAATAAAGGCATATCTGGACTACAAGTATGTACAAAATATGTCAAATATAATGTTTTTATATTGTTCGTTGATATTTGTTATAAATACGACATTAAGTAATTCAATCAAAAACATTACAGTTATATCTCTTCTATGGAAGCTTGTTGGAAGATATTTAAGTTTGACATGTATTGCAGAGAGCTAGATGTTGAAAGTTTGCCATTCCACTTAGAGAACGAACAAACAATTGTTTTCGATCCAAGTAAGTGTTTGGTTCATCTTTTGGAAAGCAAGGTTGTTACGCAAACGAAATTGACTGAATGGATGAAATGTAATCAATGATACCATTCTGCAAGATCATTGACTTATCCTAATTTTTAGAGCGAATGGGTTTGGAAGGATACAGAAAGACAATGGTCCCCACGACAAAGATCAAGGTGTATTGGCAAGGTGTATTTTGTATTTCCAGGTAGTGGTGAGAAATATTATTTGCGAATGCTCCTGAATTTAGTAAAAGGAGCAACATCATTTGAAGATATTCGAACTATCAACGGAAGAAATATTCCCTACATTCAAAGATGCATGTTATGCATTAGGATTTCTCGATGATGATAAAGAGTGGAATGATTGCTTAGACGAAGCATCAACGTGGGCTACTGGAAGACAATTAAGACAACTCTTTGTAACTATTCTTGTATATAATAAAGTGGTTAGTCCAAGAGACTTATGGAGAGCAAATGCAGAACGCCTATCTGAAGACATTCCCTACAGTCTTAAACAGAAAATGCGGATGATAGAATTGAGATGTACAGAGGAATAGATTCATAATTATGCATTGTTCGAGATTGATGAGCTCATGAAAAAGGGAGGAAAATCCTTGACAAGTTTCCCTAGAATGCCAATTCCGGATTGTTCCGTTTTTGAGAATTCACAGAATAGATTAATTGCTGAAGAATTAATTATGATATCGACAATATGAAAACAATTTACAATGATTTCTCAACAATGGCCAGAGACATGTATATGATTCGATCCTTAATTCTGTCAACAACCAAAGTGGAGCACCATTTTTTGTTTACAGACATGGTGGAATAGGCAAAACCTTCCTATGGTCAACAATCATGGCAAAATTAAGATCTTAGGGTAAAATTGTACTGCCTGTAGCTACATCAAGAATTGCTGCATTTCTGTTATCTGGTGGAAGAACAACACATTCATGTTTTCGAATTCCTTTAGATATCACCGAGGAAAGTACATGTGATATCAAAAAGAGGACACAATTGGCAAAACTACTTGCACAAACAGCTTTGATCATTTGGGATGAAGCACCCATGGCAAACATGTACTACTTTGAAGCTCTTGATAGAACTCTGAAAGATATTTTGTCTAAAAAAAATCAATCAAACATAGATAGAATATTTGGAGGCCTCACCGTTGCCCTGGGTGGTGATTTCAGACAGATTCTACCAGTTATACCAAAAGGGAAAAAACATGACGTAATAGAGGCCTGTTTATCGTCATCTTCCCTTTGGAAACATGTAACCGTGTTAACACTTACAGAGAACATGAGGTTGAAGACAACTTGGTGAACCTAAAAAAATTGGATAACTTGAAGGCTTTTGACAAATATTACTTAATATCAGAGAAGGAAGGGACGTTGCAGAAGATGAAAGTTACATCCAAATACTTGAAAACTTGAAAATTGATCAACATGCCAGTCATGAAGAAACGATTATGAACATTTTTTTTCCGGATTTATCTGTTTAGATAAATAATATTGATTATATGAGAGAGAGAGAGAGAGAGAGAGAGAGAGAGAGAGAGAGAGAGAGAGAGAGAGAGAGAAAGCAATATTGACACCCAAAAATGAGACAGTACATAGATTGAATGACTATATCACCCAGAGTCTGCCAACAGATGGAAAGATGTATTTCAACTCGGACAACACTTGCAAATCAACAAATGTCTCAAACAATGATGACATTCTCTACCCTACCAAATTTCTTAATTCTCTGATGTGCTCCGGCATGCCCAAACATGAATTGCATTGAAAATTGGCATTCCAATTATGTTTCTGCGTAATTTGAATCAATCTAATGGTCTTTGCAATTGAACGAAGATTGATCATAACCCATTTAGGAAAGTGGTCCATACAAGCAACGATTATCACCGGGTCAAACATTGGGGATATTTTCACAATTCCCAGAATAATAATGTCAAATGCAGATATTAAGTGGCCTTTCAGGTTGAAGAGAAGACAGTTACTTATGACAGTTAACTTCTGTATGACAATAAACAAAAGCCAAGGTCAATCACTCAAAACAGTAGGATTGTATATGCACCATCAAGTCTTTACACATGGTCAATTGTATGTGGCACTATCAAGAGTAACTTTAAGACAAGGTATCAAGATTCTGCTAGCCCTGCAAAAAGATGAATCGGCAGAGACATTGATAAATATTGTTTTCAAAGAAGTCTTTAACTGTAGGGATTAATATGTTCTATATTATATGAATCATTGTTTATAACAGAAAGGATTGATACATTGTATATAATATAAGACATTGTTTATGAGGGATTGATGTGAAAAATTAAACATATTTATATAAATATGAAAAGGTCACATTAGATGTTTAAATAAATACAGTAATATAACTTACTTGATACAAATATATTTATATGTTTTATATTATTATTGTCAGATATGATGAACATGATAATCCGAGGATTATACTAGTTTATTGAAGCTTTTAGGCCGGATTGTAGATACTTCTTAGTTCATTTTTGCCTGAATTGCTACTTAATTCCTTACATTTCGTGTTTCAGGTTGAAATGGACATTTTGAGTGAATAAAGACAGATTTGGAGTTTCTGGACTCAGAAGTGAGCGGATCTCGGAAATTGGGAGAGTTCTGAAGCAGAGTCAAGCACGATGAAGCTTGTTCCCAAGGGAGAGCACCTAAGATTGAAGATTCAAGCAAAGAAGCAAGCGGAGGGCAATTCTGTCAATTCAGAATTCTTTAGGAAGCTTCTACATTTTTTTCAGTTTTGTAAAATGCACAATTTTATCTTTTAGCGCTTTTCTTATGATTTTGGGAGAAGTATAAAAGAAAAACTAAGTCTTTTTTCCAGGGGTGGTCTTCGAGTAGGGTTAGCTAGTTTTTTTTTACATTTTCTTTGATTCATTTTGAGCGAATTTAGATCTAAAGAGAGGGAAGATTCGGGATTGAACTAGTGGATTCGTTATTTGGGGAGATTTCTTGTCTTTTATCTTATTTTCATTATGTTGAACTTTGGTATTTTCGTTTATTTCATTTGTATTGTTGATTTAGCCATGAACTAACCCATTTTGGGTTAGGATTTTGATTGTAATTTAGATTTTCATGGGTTAAATAATTGATTGTGTTCTTTTCATATGATTTTATTTTGATTGTGTGTTTACTTTGAATTTACTGTTTATATGTGATGAACATGATGAGATTGAGAAATGAATCATGTTAGGCTTCTTGGGTAATCACCATTGTAGTATTGGATGCTAGAGATAGATTCAAGAACCAATGAAATCATTTTAGGACTCTTGTGCTTAATAAGCTTAGATTTATTAACTTTCAATTTGTTGGGTGCGGAAGGTTAATAGGGAAGAGTAGGAAAACATAGCCTGAGAAGGTATGTTTGAGACTTTAAAGAGTTCGATTTACAATCAATGCATGTGAATATGAATTTAGCTTAATTCTTTAGGTTTAACCCATAGAGTCTGAATGAAGTCAAAACCCTACCCGTTTGTTTGAATTGATTTTATCTGTGTTTTACAGCTTGCATTCATAGTTAATTCTTAGTTTAGTAAATTTTGTTTCAGTTTTAGGTTAAATTGCTCCCATTAATCCAAAAGAATTCGATTGATCCAACTTGAGAACAGAAGGAAACTTAGTGCTTAGCAACCAATCTTCGTGGGAACGATACTCACTCATCACTCTATTACTTGAGCGACTAGTATACTTGCTATCCATTGCATGTTGTAGAAAATATGCATCAAGTTTTTGGCGCCGTTGCCGGGGATTGAGTTTTAAGTTAACATTGAGTTTTTCTATAGTTAGCTAGATTTGAGTTTTTATTTTTGTTTTTATCATTATCTGTTTTATTCTCGTTTTTAATTTTCAGTTGGTTTGTGATCTCACTTTCCTTCATTTTTTTTCGTGCAGTTTATGCGAAGAGCAAGACGTCAACTAGTGGTTCTTGTTGATCTTGAGATTGAGAGAACCGCCAGACGACTTAATAGAGAGAGAAGAGAAAGAGAGGATTTAGTGGTTGAAACAGAAGAAATAGTTATTGAAATGGCAGAACCAGAAAACAGGACACTAAGGGAATTCTCAGTTCCCAAGGTTAATGGCAGTGGGTCAAGTATTACTAGGCCTACGGTCCAAGCCAACAACTTTGAGATTAAGCCAGCAATCATTCAGATGATCCAGCAGCCGGTAAGGTTTAATGGTGATTTGAAGGAAGATCCAAATTAGCATATTGCGAACTTCTTTGAAATTTGTGACACCTTCAAGTCGAATGGAGTGTCAGATGATGCCATTAGGTTGCGGTTATTCCCATTCTCAGTAAGGGATAAAGCAAAGGGGTGGTTAATGTCACTACCACCGTGGACTATCACAACTTGGAATGATCTAGCACAGAAGTTCCTGACCAAGTTTTTCCCTCCAGCTAAATCAGCAAAACTGAGAAATGATATCACATCATTTCTGCAAGATGAATTTGAGTCATTGTATGAAGCTTAGGAGAGGTATAAGGAATTGATGAGGAAATGTCCACACCATGGGTTGCCAGTTTGGCTTCAAGTCCAAACTTTCTATAATAGACTGATGGGTAACGTGCAAACTATGGTGGATGCAGCATCGGGAGGATCTTTGCAAAATAAGACACCAGAGGAGGCTTATGAGTTGCTTGAGGTTTTGGCAAGCAACAACTATCAAAGACCAAATGAGAGAGCAATACCAAGAAAATCTACGGGTCTTCATGAAGTTGATGCCTTCACAGCCATCTTAGCCCAACTCACGACACTTCAGAAACAGTTGGGAAGTATGTAGGTAAACTCTATTCAAGCACCTCAACTAACTTGTGATTTTTGTGCAGGAAACCATGTGAGCAGCGAGTGTCAAGTGGGGAACACATTTGCTTCGTCATCTTCATTAGCGGAGCAAGTGAACTACTTGGCAGGAAATCAGAGGCAACCAAACAACCCGTACTCCAACACATACAATCCGGGGTGGAGAAATCATCCAAATCTGGCTTGGGGCAATCAGAACTAGCAAAATAATCAATGGAACCGAAGGACTTTGCCGAATAACTAACCAGGGGTGAATAATCAACCAAGAGATCCAAGAGTGATAAAGTTGGAGGACATGTTTAGGAAATTTATGTAGGAGACCACGGGATTTATGAATGAGATGAGGACGAATTTCAGAAATCAAGGGGCGTCCATTCGGAATCTTGAGGTGCAGATGGGCCAATTGGCCGAGAAGCTAAATGAGAGACCGCAGGGTTCCTTACCAAGCAATACAGTGACTAACCCACGTGAGCAAGCAAATGCTATAATTTTAAGGAGTGGGACAGTTTTGGAAGAGGTTGATCAAGCTGGAAAGAAAGAATCTGAAAAGGAAGAATCTAAAGAGGAAGTTGATGAAGAGATTGTAGTTGATGAGAAACCAAGCGGTTTGGAGGAAGAGAACAAAAAGAAGGATGAAAGGCAAAAGAAAAAGGAAAAATTGCCATTCCCTAAGATACCACTAGAGTTGGCACACACACTCCACCCATGCCTTTTCCTCAGAGATTGAAGAAAAAAAATCAAGATAAGCAGTTTTTAAAATTTATTGAAATTTTTTAAAAATTGCATATTAACATTCCTTTTGCAGATGCATTGTAGCAGATGCATTGCAGCAGATGCCGAGCTACACGAAGTTCCTTAAGGAAATCCTATCGAACAAAAGGAAGTTAGAAGATGAGGAAATGGTGATGCTTACGGAGGAGTGCAGTGCCATTCTCCAGAAGAAGTTACCCCCAAAGCTCAAAGATCCAGGGAGTTTTACTATTCCTTACATCATAGGAGATATTATGTTTGATCGTGTTTTATGTGATTTAGGAGCTAGTATTAATTTAATGCCCTTTTTTGTTTTCAAGATATTGGGAATTGGTGAAGTGAAGCCAATGACCATGTCGTTGCAATTAGCGGATAGGTCCATAAAACATCCGAGGGGGATAGTGGAGGATGTGTTGGTGAAGGTCGATAAGATAATTTTTCCAGCTAATTTTGTGGTTCTGGATATGGAAGAGGATAAGGAAATTCCTCTTATTTTGGGCCGACCATTCTTGGCCACGGGGAGAGCACTAATAGATGTGCTAGAAGGAAAGCTACTGTTGAGAGTTCAAGATGAAACAGTAACTTTCAATGTCTTTGAGACGATGAAGTTTCCATCCGAATCGGATTCATGTTTTAGTGTCGATATGGTGGATAAATTGGTTGTGGAATCTATTGAAGAAAACACCCCACAATTACCTCTAGAAGCGTGTATAGCCAAATCCAGAACAATAGAGGTGGATGATTTGGTGAGTAATGAATGTGCTAGGTTGTTAGAAGCACTTCAACCGATTGATGAGAATCAAGATTTAGAATTTGAGGAGTTTGATTTTGAAAAAAAGAAGGAAAAGGAAAAAAAATGAAGAACCTCCAAAGCTTGAGTTGAAACCTTTACCTTCCCACCTCAAATATGTATATCTTGGGGACTCAGAAACCTTCCAAGTGATCATTAGTTCAGGATTGAGTAAATTGGAGGAAGAGCGGTTGATTAGGGTGTTGAGGGAACATAGACTAGCAATTGGATGGACTATTTCAGACATTAGAGGCATCTCACCATCATTTTGCATGCATAAGATACTTATGGAGGATGATATTAAGCCTAGGGTGTAACCACAGCGGAGATTGAACCCTTCGATGAAGGAAGCGGTGAGAAAGGAGGTGGTGAAACTACTAGATGTGGGGATCATTTATCCTATTTCCGACAGCCTATGGGTGAGCCCGGTACAAGTGGTTCCGAAGAAAGGAGGTATCACGATAGTAAGGAATGAGAGTAACGAACTGATACCAACTAGGACGGTGACGGGCTGGAGAGTGTGCATTGATTACCGAAAATTGAATGAGGTGACAAGGAAGGATCATTTTCCACTACCTTTCATCGATCAGATGTTGGAGAGGTTGGCAGGACATGCCTATTATTGTTTCTTGGATGGGTATTCAGGATACAACCAAATTGCCATTACTCCTAAGGATCAAAAGAAAACAACCTTCACTTGCCCCAATGACACCTTTGCTTACCGAAGGATGCCTTTTGGGTTATGCAATGCACCAGCAACATTCCAGAGATGCATGATTTCAATCTTTGGAGACATGGTGGAACGGTTTATAGAAGTCTTCATGGATGACTTCTCAGTTTTTGGTTCATCTTTTGATAGTTGTTTAACTAATCTTTCTCTTGTTTTGCAGCGATGTAAGGAGACGAACTTGCTGCTAAATTGGGAGAAGTGTCATTTCATAGTCAATAAGGGAATAGTGCTCGGTCATAGGATCTCAAAGGAAGGAATAGAAGTAGATCGAGCAAAGATAGAAGTGATTGAGAAGCTGCCACCACCATCAAATGTCAAAGCGGTCCAAAGTTTCTTGGGGCATGCGAGGTTTTACAGATGCTTCATCAAGGATTTTTCTAAGATTTCTAAACCCCTGTGCAATTTGTTGAATAAAGATGTTGTTTTTGACTTTAATGATGAATGCATGCATGCCTTTCTAACTCTGAAAAAATTATTAGTATCTGCACCTATTATTACAGTTCCCGATTGGGGATTGCCATTTGAATTAATGTGTGATGCTAGTGATTTTGCTTTAGGGGTAGTTTTAGGACAGAGGAAAAAACAAAGTGTTGCATGTAATTCAGTATGCTAGCAAAACACTCATTGATGCACAATTGAATTACACCACCACTGAAAAAGAATTGTTGGCTGTGGTGTTTCCTTTTGAGAAGTTTCGTTCATATTTGTTAGGTGCAAAGGTGATCGTCTACATGGACCATTCATCACTCAAGCACCTATTGGCAAAGCAAGAAGTGAAACCTCGGCTGATTAGATGGATCCTACTACTGCAAGAGTTTGAGTTAGAGATACGAGACAAGAAAGGGTCGGAAAACATTATGGCGGATCACTTTTCGAGAATTGAGAGACCAATTCAGGGAGATGAGGAGGAAATCCCAATTGGAGAAACCTTTCCGGATGAGAAGTTGATGAGAGTAGATGAAGCACCATGGTATGTAGATTTTGCAAATTATTTGTTATCAAGGGTGCTCCCAAGTGGTATGATGTACCAACAAAAGAGAAAATTCTTCTCAGATTTGAAGTACTACTTTTGGGAAGAGCCATTTCTATACAGACACTGTGCTGATCAAATGATACGAAGATGTGTCCTGGAGAAGGAGATGGAAATCATTCTACGGCATTGTCACGAGAGGGAAGTAAGTGGCCATTTTGGAGGAGCTAGGACAGCAGCCAAGGTTCTACAATCGGGGTTTTATTGGCCAACCCTCTTTAAGGATTCTTTCTGGATGATTCAAGAGTGTGACCAATGTCAACGGATGGGTAATATTTCAAAAAGAGATGAGATGCCGTTGAACAACATCCTGGTGGTTGAGCTTTTTGATTTATGGGGGATTGACTTCATGGGTCCCTTCCCAAGTTCTTTTGGGAACATATATATATTGGTAACGGTGGATTACATGTTGAAGTGGGTTGAAGCAGTTGCATTGCCGACTAATGATGCAAGGGTTGTGGTTAAGTTTGTGAGAAAGAACATTTTCTCAAGGTTTGGGGTACCACGGGCAATTATTAGTGATGGAGGATCCCACTTTTACAATAGGCAATTGGATTCACTGTTGGGTAAGTACGGAGTGACACATAGAGTTGCAACAACCTACCATCCACAAACGAGCGGGCAAGTGGAACTGTCTAACAGAGAACTTAACGGAATTTTAGAAAAGACAGTTAATGCATCTAGGAAGGATTGGTCAAGGAAACTAGATGATGCATTATGGGCCTACAGAATTGCATTTAAGACTCCTATTGGTATGTCTCCATTTAGGATGGTTTATGGGAAAACGTGTCACTTGCCAGTAGAACTCGAGCATAAAGCATACTAGGCTGTCAAGCAGCTAAACATGGACTTGAAAGCTGCTGGGGAAGAAAGGATGTTGACTTTGAATGAACTCGATGAGTTCTGTCTCGAAGCATATGAGAATGCTCGGATTTACAAGGAGAAGACAAAAAGGTGGCATGACAAGCATATCCAGAAGAAGAACTTTGAAGTAGGACAGAAGGTGTTGTTGTTCAATTCTAAACTTAGGCTTTTTCCCGAAAAACTTAAGTCTAGATGGTTCAGACCGTTCACGATTACAAGAATTCACTCATCCGAAGCAATGGAAGTTACACATGAAGAAAATGGCACCTTTACGGTCAATGGACAGAGACTGAAGCCATACATAGATGGGATGCTGAGTCGCAAATCCATCCTAATTCGGCTTGACATTCCGGCTTGAAAGTTGAGATAGTCGAGCTATCGACTATAAACAAGCGCTTTTTGGGAGGCAACCCAAGTGTTTTTAATATTTTTTTTTTCATTTTGTTGTGTTTGAACTTCTTATGAGTTTGAAGGATTTTTTATTTGTGTGTTTTTTGGGTGTTTTAGGTGAAGTTTGTAGCTAAGGAAAGGAATAAAAATACTCCAGACTT